CCGCACAAGCCTGCTGTGTCCCCCCCACTTCTGAAATCAAAATTTCGTCCCTGACAGCCAGAGACAAAGTTTTGCATGTGCAAGAGGGTTAAGGTTAGGATGGGGGTAAGGGGAAGGTTAAATAGCAAGAGGGTAAAGGTCACAATTCGGCGAACTCTCCGTTTTACCGCGGCAGTCGAAAAATGACGCTCTGGCACAGTGCGTCACCTCTCGACGCGCTGGGGCTCCCAACACGTCAGAAACAAACACTTGATCACCATTGTCATTTTTCGACTCTTCGGGTGTGAGAACGTGTTGCACAATGACATCATAATGTACCAGTTCATGTCATAATGTACCTTTTAGCCAGTAGTGATGGCAGATTGAAATTCTAATGCAGTGCAGAGTTTTTACCTGAAGAGGGCACAACACTGACAGTTTAATGCAGAATTTTTTTTATTTTAAATAAGATGCACTAAAGTGCCAGATTACTGACTGCAGGTGTCTACAGCACAATTAGACACCCATTTATTTAGTTTATCAGCAAAATAAGTAGATTTGGGGGTGACATGCCCTTTAAAAATAAACATGTCACTTCCACAAACGCCTGGTGGCTTTTATACTCTGTACCTGTACTGCTGTTCTACCCTCTGATGAGCCTGAATGGGTTCACCAGTCTCAGCGACTGCAGCAGAATATGAGCTGCGACATGGAATACCTGAGAGATGCTTTACAGAGGTAGCACACTGGTGCAATGCAGAACACAGTCAGGAGTTTAAATCCTGTAAATCTTGGAATATTTTACCATAGGTGTCAAATTAATTCAATATCACAACAACCACTCAACACTAAAAAAAACTAATTATACAGATGCTTAAATTTTACCTAGAAGTCAGTTTGTAGGTTAACATATCACACAGAATCTGAATTTACTGTAACGTGCAATAAGAAGATCTGAATCTAAAACTGTGGGATGAAAATTTTCAGCTGAAAGTTTTTAGGTTTTTCAGCTCGTGTGGGCAAAAGAATCTC